CAGCTGTCAGACTATCTCACACCACTCATGTAATACTCATTACCTCACCTTAGCTTGCAGACTAGTACATCACCTCATGTAAAATGCTACACCAGCATAAAACCCTCATGTAGACTTCTAGTTCAAACTAAAATAACTCTTATGACATCATGTAGGTGGCTCAACCAGCCAAAATACCTCATGTACATGTTCTGACTAGCTAAATCCCCTCATTGTAAAGCTCTGGCCAGCTAAAATCTCTCATTCTCTTGTTCCCCTGAAGCTAAAATCTCTCACCTTTGTGTATTTAAGAGGCTCTCCTCTCAGTTGTTTTCCCCTCAGTTTATTATCCACCTATTTCATACCCCCTACCCTTACAAACCCTTACATACCATTACATACCATCCCCTTACCATTGAAATATCAGCTAGACTCACTCTCTCACTCTCAAATCAACCTTTAGACCCTTATAAAACTGGGTTAAACCCTTTGTCCACCTGTTAAGCCACAGTTATCTTTTGATACACTCCACTATCACTTTATTAAACCTTCCAATCTGAGATTGGTGGGCTTGTCTAGTGTCTAGTGATCCAGGAAAGGCAGAGGTATCCTCATTCATCCCTTTCCACACTCAGCAAAAGGTTTTCACAAACACTTTTGAGCTTTACAAGGGAGTCCCCAACGTGATAGAGGATCCTGTAGTTTTGCAAGTGGATTAGATATATCTAAACCATTGTAGTGATTTCTATAGTTTATTTTAGTAGAATTTTAGTTAGTTTTAGGCAGGAAAATTCCTGTTTTGAACACGTGACAAACCATATCTTTGAATAATCACATTCTATTTAGCTTTATACAACTTAGTTCTTAGATATATCTAGTAGAACTCCGGATTAAATAGTTAAATACTCAAGAATCAATTATAAAGTAGAAGACGAGGGGACCGATTAGCCGACGTACTAGAGTAGTTAGGATAAAAAAGTTTAACTACCAGGTGGTAGCAGATTAAAACTCAGTGCGAAGTAGAATACTAGTCTATGACAACCTCCACGAATCTATATAATTGAATAGTAGTATCATATTATTTAGTTTTATTAGTATTATTATTAGTTAGTAACCAAAACCCCCCAACCTTGCCCTGGATAAGAACACCAGCGACATTAGTTAGAAGAATTTAGGACTACTACTAGAAATTATCAACAACTCAACTCAAGATAAAGCAATCGGAATCAGTTATTCTCAGTCATGGCGTTTTCTCAGGCTCAAGACGGACCGACTCTACCAACAACCAACCCAGCTTCAACTGGAATATTCTCTGGCAATCAAAACAATCCCAACATGAATATTGATCCACCAATAATACCACCTCTTTTACCCCCACCACCAATACGAACAAGTCATACTCGAGTACGGCACTATCGTGAAAGGTTTGGGGCTCATCAAAACAATCAACAAAACGACAACCCAGCTGGCTCTGGGAACACTCAACAAACAAACTACCCTGCGGGAACCTACGGCTTACCTCCGGAAATTCAGGAAATGGACGAGCCCATGCCTAGACCTGCAGTCATCATCAAGGAACCAGACTTAAGATATGAAGGCGAGAACTTTGAAGACTTTTTGGAACGATTCGAACTGGCGGCAGAAATCTACGGTGCTGGCAGCTATGACAAAGCACGTCAAGTGTGTAGATTTGTGAAGGTAGAAGAATTGAAGAAGGAATTGGAATCGATGGACGGATACGAGCAGCGGAACTGGACACTTCTTTGTGCAAGCATGATAGAAGTCTGGGGAGGTGTGGCAAAGAAGATTCGGTACACGATCAAGGACCTTTACAATTTGATTGATTTCTGTCAGAAGAAAGGCGGAATCAAGCAGCTGAACGATTTCAAAACTTATCAGTCAAAGTTCATGATAATAACTAAGTATTTGGTAAGAAATGAACATATAGTAAATGAAACCAGTGTCTCTCACCTTTTCTTTTTAGCTTTTTCAACAGATATATAGACGAGCATTAATCGAGAGCTAGTCAAGGCAGACCTCATTCCTACAGGGAAGGATGGTTATAACAAACCACCCCTCCTTTCGGATGTAATTGATGTAGCTGAGGATGAAATTCGAGCAAGGTCACTCAATGTCTTTGCAGCTAGTGGATTCGCCGAGGCCAACCAATCGATGCAAAGGACTCTGGACCAGAAGAAAGGCGACGGAAAAAAGCGTGAGAAGATGATGGACGACAATCCTCCGGAAGTACTTCAGAAACAGGTTGATAGCTTGGCAAAAGCAATTGAGTCACTCACAGGAAAACTGGAGAATCAACCTAAAAATGAATATTCTCGTGGAAATGATCGGCCATCTGGACGGCTTTATGAACCTCAACCCTGTTACTATTGTCATATAGAAGGACATTCAACCATAATGTGTTACGAAGCTCAGAAAGATGAACGAGAAGGACTAGTCAAGAAAGAAGGACATGATTTCTACCTTCCCAATGGCGAGAAAATTCCATGGGACCCTTCAAGACCTATTTGGGTGGTTGTGGCTGCGGACTCCGCAAAACCTAAACCTCAGATCACCAAAGTATACCGGACCAATCACCCATCAGTTTTTGAACAACAGGCAAAACCAACTCCCAATACAAACGACTACGTCTCATCAATGCACAAAATTGACTGGAATCCACCACACCTAGGTTCAGAAAATTTTGACAAGGTCAAATCCAACGCAGCAACAACACGAGCAGAAGCGCTCCGAGGAAGAAGAAAACCCATGGTGGCAAACGATGACTCAGCAATGGATTTGGACCCAATCAATGAACTTGAAGAAATAGTGGAAGAAGTGGCAGCCACCAGAAAAACGCCTGGACAAATTGCGGAACCTCAAGCAAAACCAACTGTTCAGAAAACAGAGAAGACGGTTGAATCAGCCTTAGTCTCAGAGTTGGACAACTTGAAGATACCCACCACTTTTTCTCAACTCACATCAATTTCACCAACATACGCTCAAGAAGTAATCAAGAAACTTCAGAAACGAATCCCAGAACACAAAAATTCAAAGTTTACCTATGTAAAGGGACCAACGCAAGACTCCAAGGTGTCAGCATCAATGCTCCTTAATCCAGAAGAAGAGGACCAGGACTACAACTGCTTTTATAGTTGTGCCCTGGGTTTCATTGAGACTCACATATCAGGAAAAAGGGTACCTTTCATGGTTGACTCAGGTTCCATGGTCAATGTTATTCCAAGGCAAGCGGCAATCGACCTTAATTTGGAAGTCATCGAAGTGGACATACCCATGAAGGGGATTGGCGGGGACCATTGCGGCATTAAAGGAGTAGTGGAAAATTGCGCCATCAGCATTGGACGATTCACTGGACCAGTTCACCTCTTTGTTTCACCTCAAGCTCAAGATTGTATCCTTGGACGACCCTTCCTG